ACACACTCACTCTCTCTCTCTCTCTCTCTCTCTCTCTCTCTCTCTCGTGTACCTGCTGGGGCCTCATCATCAGTGCGGGGCTCCTGATCAGAGCTCGGGGCCCCTGAGGGACAGCACAGCGCAGGCCCAGCGGAGCCCGCAGACAGGAGAGACGACACAGGAGCATGACTGCAGGAACACACACACACACACACACACACACACACACACACACACACACACACACACACACACACACACACACACACACACACACACACACACACACACAGTTTATCGGAGTTCACTGAGGGAACTGCAGCACAAACGCGTCTATCAGCAGGTAAATGAAGGTTCTGGTCTAGTAAAGAGTAGCAGAACTGACCGGAGATCAGACAGTAACAGTGTCAGACTGACCGGAGATCAGAGAGTCTCACTCACCGGTTTGTTGTTTACCTTCACCTCTGAGCAGCGTCTTCAGCACTGACGCAACCCGCAGAAAACTCCTTCCTGAACGTTCGCCGTGACGTCACTAGCCGGTGTCAGCCGCGCAATGCAATGTGGTACTTGAAGTTTGAAGTTCTAACGTTATGCTGTTTCCCCCTCGTCAACTTTTCCCTACACCAGTACACTAATATATCCCACCTGAAGGAGCGAAGGAAAGCGAGAGAGTGAACTCTAGCGCTCGGTAAACCGGAAGCGATGCGGTTCTGTTTGTGTTTTTACTCGCTTATATATCCCAGATGAGATTTAAACTTGTTTGGTCAGACTCTGTCATGGTTATTGAGCACTTGGCGAGCTGTCTATCAGTGATTAAACAAATTAATTTAGTTTAATTTAATTTAGTTCAGTTGTGTCGTGTATGCGGACATTATTTTGATTAAATAATGATTTATTAATAGCGGGCTCTGGTGATTTAGCCGTGGGCGCCATCTTGTGTTCAGACGCAGGACAACAGACACTTCATACATAAACACTTCTGAACACACACACACACACACCATTTTTTAGAGGTGATGATGATGATGATTATGAAGATGATGATGATCTATAAGCTCCTCATCCTGTTCTGAAGGGCTGAGACTTTATTCCATCTCATTTCTTAAGTGAATGCTGCTGATGCCGCACACTATCCTGCCGTTATATGTCTGTTCTCAGCATCGCGCAGTGCCTCATGCTATTCTCAATGGTTGTTGACTTGCTCCAGAATCTACTCCTGCCATTTGTCTGTTCATTTCATTATATGCGATGTATATTTTCCATCAATACTCCAAACCTTCACCACCAACTTCAATATTAATCAATTTCCTGTTCTGATCTCAGCTTATAGGCAAATAAGAGCGGAAGCACCAATCAGAGGCCGCAGTCTACTGACCTCATCATGTAGATGGACTGACCCTGACCCTAACCCTACCCTAAACCAGACCTGCAGCCACACA